CACTGTGGAGGTTGGAGTGGTTTGCACTGTGGGGGTTGGAGTGGTTTGCGCGGTGGTGACGACCGTGATGGAGGGGGTGGTCCCTTCGAGCGTGGTGACGCGGTTGCATAAGGACGACACGTTGGCCTTTATGTCGTTGAGAGAGGCGGTGACGGAGGTTTGGAAGGTGTTGAGTGCGTGGAGGATGGCAGAGAGGTCGGAGCTGGCGGTGTTTGCTGGTGGTTGTTCGCCTGCGAGGTTGCGGGCGATGCTATCGACTGAGTCGGTGTGGATGTCAGACATGTTGATGGAGGATACGGCCATGTCGGGGGAAGAGGGGGTGGAGGACGTGACCTGAACGGGAGTGGAAGATGCAGCAGCAGCGGTGGCGGCGGCGGCAGCACGTTGGGAGTTCTTGGTTTGGCGTGGTTGCATGTGGAGGGTGGGGGGGGGAAATCCCCCCTTTTTTTTTTTTTTTTAATCAATAAATTCAAAAATAAAGATAATCGCCAAGATTTTTCACAAAAATAAAAATAAATAAATAAATAAAATAAAATGAACAACAAAAAGAGATAATTAATTTCAAAAAAATAAATTCTGATTTGGATTTAAATTTATTTACAAGAAAACGTGAAGTTTTGGAAGAAAATATTTTCGAATTACGGGGAACAAATAATTCTGAAAGGAATTAGGAAGAGGAAATTTTTAAAATATTTGGCAAGAATTTTTCAAGGAGAATGTCAACATTTCARAAAAAGGATAATTAATTTCGAATAAAGAGATTAATTCAGTCRTGAATTAATTGAATTTAGTCGAAATTAATTGAGGGGTTTAGAATAGCAGAAAAGTACTTCCGAATTGTAAAAAGAGTTTCGAATGTCAACAAAAATTGCGAAAAGAAATTGTGCATTTAAAATACTAGGAAAAAGAATTAATTAGAATTATTTTTAAATTTGCAAAAGAAATATCAAAAAAAATAATTTAATTAATTCTAACGTATTTTCAAAATTTTCGAAAAATAAATAAATAAATAAATTATTTGAATTTCCAAAAGAAATATCGAAGAAAAAATTTAATTCGTATTTTCAAAATTTTCGAAAAAAAATAAAAATAAAAATTAAGTGGAAATGTTTTGAAAAAGAAATGTTGAAAAATAAATATCGAAAAAGAGTTAGATTAATTCTAAAATATTTTTGAATTACAAAATTTTGAAAAAGAATGAATTAAATTTGTTTTCAAATTTCGAAGAAGAAATGCCGAGA